AAACACTTAAATTTGCAAACAACATACTGCCCTCTACAAAATCCCTCTAAATGGACGGTGCTCATACACTATTATATATTATAAATTATTACTTTTTTTTCACAATAAAGGTGTTTGGAACAATGCTGTTAGTGGCATGTATAATGGCTATTACCGATGAGCGAAATAACAAACCACCATCCGGCATGGAGCCTTTTCTCATTGGCTTAGTGGTATTTGTAATTGGGTTATCATTTGGTCTGAACTGTGGATATGCAATCAATCCAGCAAGGGATCTGTCCCCGCGTTTTTTCTCATATTGCGTTGGTTATGGGGCAGAGGTGTGGACGTAAGTTGTGATTTCATTGTATTGTGTTTTATATTCGTATGTACAACGAGTATATTAGTACAGACACAAACCCTATAGACAGCGCAGTTTCACTGGTTCTTACTGCTAGAAGTAAATTCAAGACCAACAAAGCACACATGTCAGTACAATTTAGAAGAGAGGAACTAAAAACAATTCTTTATCAATTTCAAAGATTGTCATTTGAAACACATGCTAGTTCAATTAAATATTCATAAGTTCATGAACGTTGAATTCAGCCTTCGGTCACGACGTTACATTGTATGTGAAAATATCCACGAGATTAACGGACCCTGACCCCGCATTTTTTTGCTGTATATATATTGTAACCCCTCTCTTAATTATTTGTCGTCCATGTGCTTCAGGCCTTACGGTATTAATTGGTGGTGGGTGCCAATAGTCGGGCCGCTAATTGGCGGTGTCTGTGGAGCACTCGTCTACATTACCATGATTGAAGCACACCATGTTAACGAAGATGATGTAGAGTCGTACACTATCAATGTCGGTTAGTATACTTCAGTATTTACATATGACATTTGTGTATACAATTATGCAAATTCATGATATGCAAATTCTGATATGCATGACTTCAATACGTGTATGTGAAATTACCACATCATAATGATACCAGTGAATACATCACGTGACAGTATACGCCAACGTATTGTTTTAAATTTTATTTTCAGATCTAGGGAATGTCCCTGGAGACATCCGTTTACAAGCCACAGATAACCCAGTTTACAAAGGAGATTGATACAATTTAGACACATCGCAGTACAGTGTTTATAGCCTTTGATTCAGCTCCATATAACACCGAATTGGGTGGTGCTTCATGTTTTGTTTGTCTACAGCTTTCTGATATGTAAAATATCACAATCGTTTTGTTGAAAATCCCTCGATACCGCTATCGTTTTTACTACATGTAATTGTATCAAGGCGTTCAAAGGGTTGTCACAGTTGTATAATAATCAAAATAAAGTTGTTATTTGACTTCATAAATTTTGAAATAAAAAACAAACAAACTAACAAAGAAATAAAATAACATGTCAACAGCAATTGAATCGGACATGTAAATCAGAATATTTGCGATGATAATTGAATGCGCACAGACGTAAATATTATTTGAGATGAAACTATGAAATGAAAAAAAATGGTCATGATTGAATGTTGTAGTAGAGGTCTCTGATTAACGTCGAGTGTAGTATTACAGTACTATTCACATCACATGTAGGTAGACCCCCAAAATATTTAAATTATGTGAAATAACATACATGTAATACAGTGTAATGTAAAGATAACATGGCTGATATGACAATGCTGTTGAAGAATAACGTTCAAAAAATGAACGAAATAGTTCGTGAACAATCACAATCCAAAAGTATCCAAAACATACACGTTCCCATCAATATAACTTGGATATTGAATTATTTTGTGACGCATGCGCAGTACTGGAAACATATTTCTAGTTAATACATTATATCACGCAGTCATAATATAATTTATCTGCTCTGATTCCACACTGTTTACAGGTCAAAATACTATTATTTTGCACACGACGCGTCATATCAATCATAATCGACATTTATTATTGGTGACTTGAAATAAACATGGTTGAAATGAACATACTAGTACGCTTGAAATGACAAGTTAATTTATTGTTATGACCATATCATAAATAGAGTACCGCATAACGAGCAAAGTCCGATATTATTGCGGGGTTATATTATTGAGATTCGTTGTCCGATAAAAACACGCATACAAAGAGGCCGTCAACGAGGTTATCGCTGCACCGAGACTTCACAATGGGAACCTACAAGAACTTTGTGGAGAAGATATTCAAAGGTATTGGTATCAAGAACCAAATAGTGCGTGAATCGTTGGGCGAATTTATTGGAACTTTTATTTTAATCGTAAGTATTGTATAACTTTCCTGTAATTCACTTGCTGACTGTAACGTAGATCGATTTATAAACTGTACACTGATAAGTACATCAGCGTGCCACCATTTGAATATAGTTCAATATACTGAATATTTTTAAGAGTACCCAATAGATTATGTTACACATCAAAGACCAGTGTGGATTCAAGTTGTAATTTGCTGGATTAACCCGGGTATGAAATCGTGAAAACGCACATTGCACGTTAACCATCTGTGACAATTGATGCAAAAAATACATCAAGGTGCAATGTTCAGAGTTCATAGCGTGATTCATAATAAACTGCAACCTGCAATACCACGTGCACTAAATTGAGCAACTACAGAGTTCACGAAAATAGAGGGCGCAATACAAAACCAATCATGGATCTAGCACTATTCAATAGGGAGGTTTCTTCAATCACTACTTTAGTAGATTCGTG